GGAGCTCCTCAGTTGCTCATAGAAAATCCCACCTTGGAGTTTACAAAGACTTATGGGTAGAAAAGCCACACTAAGTAATTTACTACACTGCAACCAGTCATTAGAAATTGTTTATTCTTAGACATTTTATGGAAAATAAATGTTCTGAGCTTTATAGTTCCATTCTTTTTCAGATAAACCCTTAAGGTAGGGAGATATAATATTATAGTGCTTTAAAACAATGGCTTTGGGACAGATTTAGTAAGAATTTGCCTCCTGATGCTGCTACTCACTAGGTGTATGACTTTGCACATTTATGTAGTCTCTCTGTACTTGACTTTCCTCATCTTTAAATGGAGCAACTGTGGACATTAATCCATAGAGTTATTGAGGGGATTAACTGGAAGAAGACAGGTAATTTTTTTAATACAGAACTTGGCACATAGTAAACACTCAATAAAGCAAGCCTTGGTGCAGTGCCTAAGGCTAACCAGAAGTTTGGTGGTTCAAACCCACCAGCTGCTCTGCAGAAGGAGGATGGGGCAATCTATTTCCATAAAGATTCACTGCCTTGGAAACCCAGTGGGGGCTGCTATGAGTTTGAATCAACTCGATGGTAGTGGGTTTTTTTTTTTTTTTTTTTTTTTTTTGTTTTTATAAATTATGAGTAAGTCAGTTCTATGTTGGCACATCCTATAGGTAGAAAAATAGAAACAATACATAAAAATCATTAAAGATCTTGTCCTTAGATTCTTTAGATTTGGGAGGCTTTCTTGGCCTTGAGTATGTCATTTGTACTCTGTCAGCTTTCTTCCTTCTCTGCTAACAAGTGATACGATCTTTCTCCACCACTTGTGTGCCACTTTGTCAGACTGTGGTGGCTTGTGTGTTGCTGTGATGCTGGAAGCTATGCCACTAGTATTTCAAATACCAGCAGGGTCACCCATGGTGGATGGCTTTTAGTGGAGCTTGCAGACTAAGACGGACTGGGAAGGATGGGGCCATAATGTTCTGAAAAAGTTGACCACTGAAAGCTTTCAAATAACAGTGAAACATTGTCTGATATAGTGCTGGAAGATGAGTCCCTCAAGTTGGAACGCATTCAGAATACCACTGGGGAAGAGTTGCATCTTTGAAGTATAGATGACTTTAATGACGTGGATGGACTAAAGCTTTCAAGACCTTCATTTACTGATGTGGCAAGATTCAAAATGAAAAGAGCAGTTGCAAACATCCATTAATAATCAGAACTAAAATGTACAATATATGAATCTAGGAAAACTGGAAGTTGTCAAAAATGGAATGAAATGGATAAAGATCGATATCCTAGGCATTAGTGAGCTCAAATTGACTGGTATTGGCCATTTGAATTGGAGAATGATATGGTCTACTATGCTGGGAATGACAAATTGAAGAGGAATGATGTCGCATTCATGCATTCATCATTAAAAAGAACATTTTAAGACCTATCCTGAAGTACAGTGCTGTCAGTGAGAGGATAATATCCATATCCCTCCAAGGATGACCAGTTAATACTACTATTATTTAAATTTACATACTAACCACTAAAGCCAAAGATGAAAAATTGAAGATTTTTCTAACTTCTGCAATCTGAAATTGACCAAACATGCAACCAAGGTGAATTGATAATTACTAGTGATGGCTGTTTTTTTTGGAAACAGAAGCAGCATTGGTAGTTAAAAGTATGGCCTCGGTAATAGAAATGATGCAGGAGAATTGCATCGTAGAATTTTGCGAGACCAATGACTTATTCATTGCAAATTCCTTTTTTTAGCAACAGAAAAGGTAACTATACGTGTGGACCTCACCAGATGGAACACACAGGAATTAAATTAACTACATCTGTGGAAAGAGAAAATGCAGAAGCTCAATTATCAGTCAGAACAAGACCAGGGGCCAACTGTGGAAGAGGCAATCAGTTGCTCATATGCAAGTTTAAATTAAAGTTGAAGAAAATTAAAACAAGTCTGTTGCTGTTGTTGTTATGTGCCATCAAGTCAGACCCGGCTCATGGCAACCCCTCCTTGGGTTTCTGAGGTGGTATCTCTAAAGAAGTAGTTTGCCCAACCTTCCTTCCAAGGAGTGGCTGGTGGGTTTGAACTGCCAGCCTTCTGGTCAGCAGTCAAATGCCTTAGGCACTACGCTACCAGAGCTCCCAAAAACAAGTCTATAAGAGCCAAAATATGATCTTGAGTCTATCTTGCCTGAATTTAGAGACTACCTTTTTTTTTTTTTTTTTAGTGACATTTTTCCTTGCTTTAATTTTGTTTTCCTTTTTCTGCTTTTGAAATGGCTTTTGATTACAAAATATCAAACTACACTCAAAAGCAGGTGTAGAAAATGCCAGCCATTGGCACAACACAAAGAAACCCACAAATAAGGACAGATAGTAGCAGCAGGTGGCAAGAAGTAGGAAGTGATTGAAGCAGTTGTTCACAGGAAGCTAAAAATTTTCAGGTTGAGTCCTAATGTTAGTATAGGTTAGACTAGTCACTACTGTGGTAGGTGGCCTCAGTATGTTTGGGTTCAGATTCTATGCATCAATTTAATTTCTTCCAATTAAGAGCTCTTGCCTTGCACCAATCACAGGGTGGCTGGAGGACACTGGATCAGTCCATTAGTTTTTCAAAATGCTGTTATAAACCTGATAGATGTACTGAGAGACCTCAGGAGCTCTACATTTTAGTGATAGTGTATAATTGGGGTTTCCAGGCTGGATATGTAGCTTGGCCAAAATCCGAATGCCATTAGTGAGCTTCAGGGATTGGTACAGCATGTCCTGCCCTTCCACATTCCTCTTGGCAATAGTATAAACATTGTTGTTCTGCAGTTTGCTAGAAACAGTGTCAACATTTAAATGACATACCTTAATCTGAAACTGAAGTTCATTTTCATTGGGAATATCCTTCCATGTTGCAAGGAAGACCTGGTGTTCCATTTTGCCATCTTCTACAAAAAGCACATTGACAGGGTTTAGGCAACTGAAGTAGAAGACATCAATATTGTTTTTCACAGCCACCTGCAGGTTATTCAGAGGTTCTCACTTCATGCCTGGGTCTAAGGTGTTGAGAGGCATGGAGACATCAATGCTCTGGTTTGGAATCAGTGGTGAATGGATGGCCAGAGGAGTGCTGGGGATGACACCAAAGCTGGATGGCAAAGTCTGTCATGTGCTGCAAAGCTTTGTTGGTGAGGTCCATTTACATATAGATGTGCCCTTGGTGGTGAGTGAATGTTCCTGAAATCTCCACAAGCGTTTAGCCTTTACTGCAGGTAGCCAGACAACTTTAGGCACCACATATCCACCAGGTGCCATGCCTATCCCTGTGGAGAGTTCAAAAAGGTCATTCAGACCACTGCTGACCACAGCAGCAGTAGGTGAAGGAGCAAAGGTTGGAGGCACTGATAATGGGATAAAGGACTGCCCAACTGCCAGACTTCCTCCAATGCCCCCACCAAGGTCACTACAAGCAGACTATTAAGTCCCCCTCCCGAGAGATCCACTGCTCCCATCTGCATGGAGGATACCTGTGGCACATTGACTGGGGGACCAAGGTCAAGATTCAGAAGGTCCCCTAGAAGGTCACCTTGAGAAGGTATAACCTGAGGCTGTTCCAGGTTGGCTGCAGTGGTGGTGCCAACAGGGCTGTCGCTTGCATCAGTGCCTCCATGATGAATTGGTAAGTGTTTGGGATGAATTCCATGACTTACTTCTACAAAATCATTGGAAGGTTTATGGTACACAGAGGCCAAAGGACAATGTGGCAGATTAGTTTGTCCAGCAGAGTTGGCTCAAGGTTTGTTTCCTCCGATATCAGTGGCTTCTCAGACAAGACTACTTCTTTGGCTGTGACAGGGTCCATTGAGAGAAGGCATCAGTAAATATAGCCCTAGTCTTGGAGATCAGGGTTATCGGAATTCTGGGTTGCCAAACTCAAGACCTGCTGGACCAGTTCCTGTGCTTCTGATGATTTCTTAAGAAACAGATTCACTGTGGCACTAAGCAGAGTGAGCTGTACCTGGGTGCTTTCATCATGAAAATCCTCCAGGAAGCTCTCCAGTAATGCATCTGCATTGTCAATTCTTTCAGCATATTCTCCCACAATCCAAATCATAGCTGCTTAGCATTTGGCTCATCCAGCGAGTCTAAGTTCTCACATAAAGTAGCAATGATACATTCATACTTATTAGGCTACTTATGGAAGATGTCCCTGATGACAACGATCTCCTCTTGGACCACATAATTTATTTTAGTCTGGATGAGATCAAGCAATGTGCTCACACAGCACTCTGCAGATTGCTCCACCTTGATGGCACACTGTCCAGTGGTTCACACTGCTTTGTGAACAAAGTCAACATCTACTTCTGTGGCATATTCCTTCAGTTCTGCCAGAACCTGAGCAATGTTGGCTTGGGATGCCAAATCATGATGTCCAACTTCTCTAGTTTAACATAGATGGGATCACTGTACTTCACAAAAAACACTTTGATTTCCTGCTTCAAGATTTCAAGCCTCTTTTTGGACAACTAGGTTGATGTTCCTCAAGGTGACATACTGCACCTCTGGCTCCCCAGACAAGAAAGTGACCAGTGGAAGGGCTAACTTCTTTGGCAGCATACTGTAGTAGCCAGAGTCCTTGGGTAACAACTCTAGAAATTTCATTAGGACTTTTACCGCTGAGAGCACCACTGCTGAGTTGGCGTGGGATAGCTGGGGAGTTACCTTCTCACAGATGCTCTGAGCCGCTTGGTCATCTCTAGGGTTGTCAAAGATGAGAATCTGGCCCTATTTAGTGCACTCAGCAGCTTATTAATGTTCTGTGGGTTCAGATAAAGTAGATTGCTATTTGGGTGAGACTCACTGATTTGAAATAATGCTGCTACAGCATTAGCCACCACCATTGGATTTGAATCTGCTATGAGATCTTGGAGAGGATACAGGAATCCCTGATCTTCCACCATTTGGGTATTGATATCATGGAGCTTTGCCATGCAGATTGCCACTGTTTTCTGATCATAGGGGGTCTTCATCCTTTAAGCACTTGAGGCGGGGCTCCCAGAGATATTCCGTAATCTTGTCCACTCAGATGCAGCCCATGGTTCTGACTGCCAAGGCCTGACTCAGTGGATTAGGATCTTCACAGTGCTTCACAAAACTATTGACAGCCATGATGGCTGTGTCTGGCTGACTCTTAGCATAGTTCATCAAGTAAAGATACACAAGTTTCTTTAGTTCTAGGTTGTCAGTCTGCATACAGTTCACTACATCTGGAAAGAGAGCTACATCTTTTTCCATGGCCATAGCAGCAATCCCTTTCTTCACAGCTTCCTTCCTCTTTTCTTTCTTTTCATTGTTGAGTTCAACCTTTAATTCAAAGATTTTTCTTTTTTTATTGGTTGTGAAATACTTGGGATCAGTCATGGTTTTGGATCTTTAATGTGCACCAGAGGCAAGGGCAGGGAGGTGGCAGCAGCCAGAGACTACGGCCTGGGTAGTGTTGTAATGGTTTCACTATCTTAAGAATAGATTTGGTGCACTGAACACCAGTGACCAAAGACCAGACAGTTGTGAGATGACATAAAAAATATTGTACATGAAGAAAGCAAAAGGTCATGAAAAAAGACAGGAAAGAAAGAAAAGACCAAAATGGGTGTCAGAAGAGACTCTGAAACTTGTTCTTGAATGAAGAGTAGCTAAAGCAAAAGGAAGAATTAATGAAGTAAAAGAGCTGAAGAGAAGATTTCAAAGGGCAACTTGAGAAGACAAAGTAGAGTATTATAATGAAATGTGCAAAGGCCTGGAGTTAGAAAATCAAAAAGGAAGAACATGTGCTACATTTCTTAAGCTGAAAGAACTGAAGAAAATGTTCAAGTTTTCAGTTGCAATATTGAAGGACTGTATGGGCAAAATACTGAATGATGCAGGAAGCATCAAAAGAAGGTGGAAGGAATACACAGAATCACTGTACTCTGATGTTCAGCCATTTTAGGAGGTAGCATATGATAAAGAACAGATGGTACTGAAGAAAGAAGCCCAAGCTGCAATGAAGGAATTGGCAAAAAACAAGCTTCTAGGAATTGAAGGAGTATCCATTGAGAAAGTTCAACAAACGGATGCAACACTGGAAGCCAGCATTCATTTATGCCAAGAAATATGGAAGATAGCTACCTGACCAACTGACTGAAAGAGACACATATTTGTGCTATTCCAAAGAAAGGTCATTCAGCATAATGTGGAAATTATTGAACAATATTATTAATATCACTCTTAAGTAAAATTTTGCTGAAAATAATTCAAAAATGGTTGCAACAGTACATTGACAGGGAACTGCCAGAAATGCAAGCTGGATTCATAAGAGGGCATGGAACGAGGGATATCATTGCTGATGTTAGGTGAATCTTGGCTGAAAGCAGAGAATACCAGAAAGATGTTTACCTGTGCTTTATTGACTTTGCAATGACAATGACATTCGACTGTGTGGATCATAATAAATTATGGATAACTTTGTGAAGAATGGGAATTTCAGAACACTTTATTGTGCTCATGAGGAGCCTGTACATAGACCAAGAGGCAGTTGTTTGAACAGAACAAGAGGATACTGCATGCTTTAAAATCAGGAAAGGAAGGTGTCAGGGTTGGGTCCTTTCACTGTAGTTATTCAGTTTGAGCAGATAATTTGAGAATCTGGACTATATGAAGAACACAGCATCAAGATTGGGTGAAGACTCATTAACAACTTGAGATATGCAGATGACACGCCTTGCTTCCTGAAAGTGAAGAAAACTTGAAGCACTTACTGATAAAGATCAAAGACTACAACCTTCAGTATGAATTATACCTCAACATAAAACAAAAATTCTTACCACTAGACCAATAAGCAATGTCAGAATAAATGGAGAAAAGATTAAAATTGTCAAAGATTTTATATTACTTGGATCCACAATCAATGCACATGGAAGCAGCAGTCAACAAATCAGACATATTGCACTGGGCAAATCTGCAAAAGACCTCTTCAAAGTGTTCAAGAGCAAAGATGTTACTTTGAAGAGTAAGGTGTGCCTGATGCAAGCACATCAGTATTCTTTTCAGTATCCTCATATGCATGTGAAAGCTAGACAATGAATAAGGGAGACAGCAGAATTGATGCACTTGAATTGTGGTGTTGGCAAAGAACACTGAATATACCATGGACTGCCAGAAGAACAAACAAATCTCTATTGGAATAAGTACAGCTGAAATGCCCCTTAGAAATGAGAATGGCCAGCTTGCGTCTCACATACTTTGGTCTTGCTGTCAGAAGGGACCAGTCCCTGGAGAAGGAGATCATGCTGGGCAGCATAGAGGGCCAACTGCAACAGCGGCTTAAGCATAGCTGCAATTGTGAGGATTGTGCAGGACCATGAATTGTTTCATTTGTTGTGCATGGGGTCGCTATGAGTCAAAATATACTTGACAGCACCTAACAACAACACTGTCTTTCTCCCTTTAGCACAAGTCCTGCTTTTCTGATTTAACTGGTTTTTACTTAATGCACTTTCCCCACCTCCTATCAGTCACAATGCCCTTTGAATGTTAGAGTTAAGTTGACAACCAGATAATGTGATCTTTTTGTTTTTCAGGATGTGATACGAGCCATGAATGTCAACCCCAAGATTTCGTTCCCTCCTGAAGTTGACTTTTGCCTCCTCAATGACTTTATTCAGGAGATATGTTGCATTGCCTTTGCAATGCAGACCTTAGACCCACCCCTAGATATTGCATTTGGGACTGATGGAGAAGTTTTCAATGATTGCAAGTAAGAGACACAGGAGCAAAAGTTAAGGGATTCCTGGGAATAATTTAGGGGGAAATGTACTGCTGGCTAAATAATCCTGGGTGAAGAAATCAAGACACTAATTTCCAAGCCTTGCCATATTCTTCTGTGTACTATGGAACAGAGTTCTCCTTGGGTCATTTTCCTCTCAGAAAAGTGTAAATCAGAGGTCACATTATGATTTCCATAGGACATATTGATTGGTCTTTGGGGAGTAGTCATAAATACCAGGAGTCTATCTGGAGCATTTTGAAAGAAAGATTGTTATATAAATACAAATGTGCATGACAGTTTATTGTTTTTTATTGAATTTTCCTGTCCAGGTTTTTCAAAATGAGGTGCATAGATCACCTACATCAGAATTATTCAGGGTGCTTGTTAAAACTGCAGACCCCACTCTAGTATATTTTATGCAGTAGGTGTGGGATAGGACTCAGAAATCTTTAATTTAACAAGCTCCCCGGTGATCCTTATGCACTTAATTGCTTTTTATTTTTCAAGTATTTTCAGTCCGCTGTTGGTTGAATCTGCAGACGCAGAACCACAGATTCAGAGGGCTAATTGTGCATTGCGTTGTGTGTTACTAGATTCAGCTTATCATTCCCAGCTCCTGAACTATTTTTCTTTCTCTCTCTCTCTCTCTTTTTTTTTTTTTTTTTTGAGAAATCAATTTTCTTTATCTTTGATTAACTCTTTCACATCACACGCTAGTTGGCTTTAGCTAAAACTTCTTACCCAATGAGAAATGGAAGTTTGGCCAAGAGGAGTTGAATCCTTTTACTATTGCAGTTTTATTAACCAGAGTAGACGTTGAGTTTTTCATTTATGCAAGCCAGTTTTGTTTTTTCACCAAAGCTCTGAAAACAAAACAGAACAAACCATAAGCAAGTTCATTATAGTTGCATAACATAGTTATCCAACATTTTAATATATTTTTTCCTTTTTAAAATATTATTTTATGTTTTTGGTTAAAGCACACACAGCAAAATAGGATTCAGCAATTTCTACACATAACATTCAGTGACATTAGTTACATTCTTAATGTTGCGTCAACATTTTCATTGTTTCTGTTCTAATTCTTCCATTCCTATTAACTTAGTCTTACTTTGTCTCAATTATGCTCTAGAATAACTGTTGTCCATTTGATCTCATATAGATAATTTTTTAAAAGAGCACAGTACTCAAGGGTGACTTGACTTGACTTTTTCTTCTAACCTGCTATTTAGTTAAAAGGTGATTTCAGGTAATAGTTTCAGTTCAAAGTTAAAAGTGTATCTCATGGCAACTGTCTCAGGGATTCTTCCAGAATTGAAGTCTTGTTCCAAATTTTTCTCCCTTTTTATCAGGATCCATCTACTGTGATCCTGATCAGAATAGTCAGTAGTGGTAGCCTGACACAACTTAATTCTACTGGTCTCACGATAGAGGAGATAGTGGTTCTTGGAGGCAATTAATCTTATAGTCTAGTTCCTTTTCTGATTCTTGGGTTTCCTCTTTTCTCTTTCACTCCATTCGAGTTAAGATATGATCCTTGGAGACAATTATTCTTATAGTCTAGCTCCTTCTCTGATTCTTGGTTTTCCACCTTTCTCTTTTGCTTCAGCCAAGTAGAGACCAATAGTTGTTTGTTGGATGGTCACTTACAAGCTTTTAAGACCCCAGACACTACTCACCAAACTAGGATGTAGAACACAAACTATGAACTATAGTACAATCACTCACTGAATTGTCCCATAAGACTAGGATCCTAAGTCTTCAAACTAAGAAAACTGATTTTGTGAGGTGATTGGTTATGTTGGAGAAGTATCCTGTGTTACTTTTGATACTGTCATCTGATCTTTGATCATGTTTTCGATATTTCTTACATGTAAAAAAAAAAAGTCATTGATAAAAATGGTGATTTATCTATCACAAGATTGAAAGAGCGCCTTTAGCATCTAAATTCATATTCTCATTGATCCATTAATTAGCCCTTTCCTCTCTTTGGATATAGTCTTTCAATGAGTTTCCAGTTCACCTAGTTATCATACTAGTGGCTAAAGCACTTGACTGCTAACCAGAAGGCCGGTGGTTCAAACCCACCAGCCACTCCTCGGAAGGAAGGTTGGGCAATCCTACTTCCGTAGTGATACTGCCTCGGAAACCCAAGGAGGGGTCGCTATGAGTCGGGGCCGACTCGACGGCACATAACAACAACAACAACATAACCAGTGGCTGTCAAGTCACCTGTGACTCATGGAGACCCCTTGTGTCTGAGAGTAGAACTGTGCTTCATAGGGTTTTCAATGACTGTGTTTTTCAGAGGTAGACCACTGGCTTTTCTTCTGAGGCCCCTCTGCGTGAACTCCAACCTCCAACCTTTTTGGTTAATAGCCTATCATGTTAACCATAGAGTTCCTGGGTGGTGCAAATGGTTAAAACTCTCAGCTGCTAACTAGAAGGTTGCAGGTTCAAGTCTATGCAGAGGTGCCTTGGAAGAAAGATGAAATGATCTAGTTCTTTCTCTTCTTCTTTTTAAAAATACTGTTTTATTGTGTTTTGGGTGAAATTTTACACAGCAAATTATATTCCCTTTTAATAATTTTTATGCAAATTGTTCTATGCCATTGATTATAATTTTTACAGTGTGTCAGCATTTTCATTGTTTCCATTGATCTAGATTTTATTCCCCTCCCTGCCTTCTCATCTTTGTTTTTGGGCAAATGTTACTCTTTTGGTCTTGTATAGTTGATTGTTCTAAGTTGCATATTCCTCATGGTGACATCATTTATTTCATAAGCCAATCTATTATTTGCTGAAAGGTGACTGGCAGAAATAGCTTCAATTCAAAATTCAAAGGATATTTTAGTCCTAGACATATTAGATATATTTTATAGTATATAAAATATAAATATATTTTAGATATATTTAGTCTCAGGGGGTCCTCCAGTCTCTACCAGTTCAGTAAATCTAGCTCTTTATTTTTTTAGGAATTTGTGTTTTGTTCTACATTTTCCTCCCATTCTATCTAGGACCTTTTATTGTACCCCTGGTCAGAATGGTTGATAGTGGTAGCCAGGCAACATCAAGATCTTTTGGTCTCATTTTACAAGAGGCTGTAGTTCATGTGGGCTGTTAGTTCCATGGGCTAGTTTCTTATTTGGACCTTTGATTTTCTTCATTCTCTTTTGCTCCATATGAGTAGAGACCGACAGTTGTGTCTCAGATAGCTGCTTGTAAGCTTTCAAGATACCAGACGCTACTCACCAAATGAGGATATAGAGCATCATTTTTGTGAACTATGTTATGCCAATCGACTCTGTTGTCCCCAAAGACTGTGGTCCCAAGCTTTTTGATCTACTAAACCAATCCTGCAAGCTTTTTGGATATATCTAGGATGTCTTCGGAGCTGTGTCACTTCTGTGGTTTGTTACATGGATAAAAATGTAGCACACACAGAAGTGTATATACATATACCTATAGATACACCTATACATGCATGTATTTTACTTATATGTGACTTCCTATACACATATATTCATCAGCATCTATATTCCACACATACAATCTTTGGTTATGTGATGATTTACTTCTGAAAAATCAGCTATTGAAAACCCTGTGGAGAATATAGCAGAGCAAACAAGGGTCAAAGTTATGAAAACTTCTTAAACATAACCAAAAGTCTTGAGGGAATGAGCTGCTGAGCCTAGAGGCTCAGGACCATAGTCTTGGGGCGGGGGGGACATCAAGGTCAATTGTCATAACAGTTCACAAAGACAATGTTCTATATCCTACTTGATGCATAGTGACTGTGGTCTTAAAAGCTGTGAGTGGCCATCAAGGTGCAACTATTGGTCTTTCCCCATGCAGAGCAAAGAAGAGTGGAGAAAATGAAAGATTTAAAGAAACAATTAGTCCAGATGACTAACGGATCTCATGAACCCCAGCCTCCATGACCCTGAGACCAGAAGAACTAGATGGTGCCTGGCTACCACTGCTGACCACCCTGAAAGGGATCACAACAGGAGGTCTTGGATAGAGTGGGAGAAAAACATGGAACAAAATTCAAAGTAATAAAAAAAAGACCAGGCTTACTGGTCTGATAGAGACTAGTGGAACACCAAGACTGTGGTCCTTAGACACCCTTCAGGCCTGGAGCTGAACTCACCTCTGTGGCTCAACTTTCAGCCAAAGGATAGACAGGCCTATAAGGTGAACATTAACACCAGGGAGGTATGCACTCCTTAGAACAGCCAATCATATGAGATCAAAAGGGCAGAATTTGTCCAGGGATAAAGCTGAGATGGCAAGAAGGGATAGGAAGGATGAATGGAAATGGTAAACACAGGAGGAAGTGGGAAGAGTGCCCAAATTATCACTGGTTCCTAATAACAGAATCAGGATCCATATTTGTCTAGATAAACAATTTTTGTCCTCCAGAGATGCTACTTAATGGCTTAATTTCTCTTTCTTGTTCCTTTGTGTGTAAAATAGGTACCGTCGCAGCTATGACTCAGATTTCACCGCTCCCTTAGTCTTCTACCACGTGTGGCCTGCTCTCATGGAGAATGATTGTGTCATTATGAAGGGAGAAGCTGTCACCAAGAGAGGGGCTTTTGTACGGTGGCCTTGCATAGTGACCATTCATCCCAAGTGTTTGCTTCACAAGTTCGAGAACATTTATAAACCCAGAGCTTTTGTAAAAGAAGTCTGTAAAAATGTTTATTAAGATTCCATACAAAGGGGAGGAAGTATGTGGTACAGGGCCTGCTGGGAAAGAATAAATCTTTTTTTTTTTTTTTCTTTCTTTCTGATTCTTTATAATTTTCTAGCAGCAATCTTCACCTGTTTCTTCATTTATAAGATAGAACTAGTCATATTTGCCTCCTTCATCGTAGAAAACTTGCAAATTATACAGGCAGAGCCCTTTGAACTCATTTTTATTGGAGGCCCTCTGTAGTTCTAAGCATTTCAAAATGATCAGTTAATTTTCTGGAAATATTTTGCCAAATTTTTACCCAAAATTCTCCATTTTTGGAAATTTTGAATGTGCCCAGTTTTTCTCTCCTTTGTATGGGTGAGGTAGAGAGGGATGGAGATAGGACAGAGGAGGTGGGAAAAGGGGGTAAGCCAGTTTGGAAGGCTGCTTCCTATGTGCATTGGTGGTAGAATATTTTGAACATGTGCTTAGTTTCAGGAATTGAGCAGCCTTCAAATTGGAGTCTTAGGTATATAAGGCTGTGTGTGTGTGTGTGTGTGTGTGTGTGAGCGTGCATGTACACACTGAGGTGAGGGGGGAGTGTTGGAAATGGTGGCCACAGGTGCTTAGATATTCTGTGTAGATTACATTATGTTGTTTTCACCCCTTCCCTTCCTAGAAAGTGTTTATCCATTCACTTATTTTATTCAGTGATATTTATTTATTGACTAGTTACTTATGACACTGTATTAAGGTGTTGATAATTCAGCACTGAACAAAACAGATACAAATACCTGCTCTCATTGAGCTTGATGGGAAATTTGGAATATAATTTCCAACAGCTTCCTTACTCATCAAAGCAAAATTAAACTAGTGCCAAGAATTTTTATGTCCCAAAGTTCATTGTTAATGGGATGTCAAGAATTCAAAAGTTATTGTTAAATATTGGGCAAATAAGAAATGAAGACATGCACCACAATCTGATATATGGGCAGGTATAATCATATCAGTAAAATATCTCCTTATGTGGGATATATACGTTGTTTTTAGTCATGTCAACTTTCACAAATTATTGACTATTTGTCTCTCTTGTTTAGTGGAATTCGGTGCGGCCTGTAACTCGATGTCGAAGTCGGAGTCTAAGTCCTGTTTGCCCCCGTAGCCGTATTGGTTTAAGCACGGTACATATCTGTCTAATCATTTATTACACAAAATCGTTCTATGATTGACACTTTCTGTGCTACAATATTTGCCTATAAAAGAAGTGGTTATAATCATAAAGGTAGAAAGAGAACCTGTTACAATAACACTAAGCCCAAATTGATTATTATGTGACTGTGGGTGAAGGAATTTATCATTCCAGAAAGAAGGAAACATAAATTCTTTTTTCTTCTTAGACTTTTACTTATTTCATAATTTAATATTTATCTTGGAATGAAAATAAACTACTAGAGATTAGGTAGTCTTCTGAAGAGAGAAAGGAACATTTTAGTCAACAGGCCTAGGCCCACGTCTTTGATTTCTCTAGAACATGTTATGTGAGTTTAGAGAAATTGCTCAGATGGTCTGGATTTCAATACTTTATAAAGGGCATTGCAGTTATCATTTTTTTTCTAACTTCGAAGTATGAACAAGAAGGGTAGTCTCTTTGCTTATTAGCTCTGGGGAGAATTACTATTTCTGTCAAAGAAAATATTAACAATAGGGAAAACATTTCTGAAAACTATGGAGATAACATCTCTAAAAACATTATATGATTCCTCACTGTTCATTGATTCAATAAATATTTAGTCAGTGACTTCTGAGTACAGGGTTGTACTAAGACATGTGGACACCAGAATGACTAGCAATTTGCTGTTCCTTCAAGTTGATATATATATA